ATTTTTGGGGTCAAACGCCGGAGCGACTGCGCATTACCCTTTATTAGTCTCTTTACTTGTCATGATCCATTATCGAAACGGGAGAAAAGAAGAAAAAAAAAAAGAATACGTACCGGTAGTGCCCACCAGCGTCCAGTTGCCATGCGACTTTGCGCTCTGCCACTGATCCTTGAGAATTATCACCTGCGGGCTTTCGCCCCCGAAAATGTTCTGACCGAGAACCTGCTTTTCCACGGGCTTGCCGTCGTCCCAGCTCAGCGACAGCGTGAGCGGCGCGCCGGTATAATAGTGCCAGACCTCGGCGGCGTTGACGCGGTGCCACACCGAGTCGCCGGCGGACCCCTCGAGCAGGTAGTAAATGGCCGTCGACGCGGAGCGATTGCCGTTGATGAGCTCCGTATCGATAAACGTCTGCACAAAGTAGCCCTTTTCCGGGTTGGCCGTGAGGTTGAGCTTGGAGATGACCTCTTGCGCGCTACGTTCGTTGATAGAACCGTGGTGGTTCAACGAGGTCGAGTCCGAGGGGACCGCAGCGGCGATGACGGCGGTTGCGGCGGTTGCCAAGGCGGTGAGGACGTGCATTGTGGCGTTTTGTTTCTCGTTTATGCAACTATATGGTTGTAGATGAGCGGTTGGTTCTTTTGCTTCTCAACAGCCTGTAGAGTGTGACGTCTTCAAAGATGTGTAATTGAGGATTGAGAGGTTTCACGATTTTCGGGGATTTTTATGTTGCTCCCTCGAATTGCGCCATGAACTCTTTTTGTACGCTGTCCCCCTCCCGGTTCCACATTGCGCGCCGCGCAAAAAAAAAAAATAGAGCGTGGGTATGAAAATTGGCGTCGTGGCGGTGCACCTTTGCCCGTTTGATTTTACGATTCCCCCTCCCGCTGCCCGCGCATCCGTCGGCCCTGTTATTGAACGGTGACTGAATCATGCTTTTGCACGGGTCCGCGGGCGGCTTTTTGGTGGTCGTTATTATTACGGCTTCTTGCTTGTTTGCTTTCCCCTGCAGTCACTTTTATTTTTCAGCTCTGTCCGAAAGGAGTTGGTAGAGATCCGAATGCCTGGGTTGCAGGGGGTGGCTACCTACTATGAATGGAAGCTGCGGAACATTCTTCAACGATATACATCGGACGGACTGAGACCTTGGGGATTTGCGTTTTCATTTCTGCTTCTGTTCTCTTTCACCCCCAACATTGCTAGTATCCAAGCAAGCAAAGCCCTGCAGGGACCACAGAATGTTACCATGCCCATGGCCAGGCTTTCGGAAAATTGCCTGCTGCGAAAGGTCGATATCCGAAACCCCAGCCACGCATGCGTAGAAACATCAGGAAAGCTAGCAGGTTTATCAGCTCCACTGCGGCGCTGTCCCGCATAAACTACACCCACTGTAGCATGGCATTTGCGACAGAGAGTGGTGCCGATCGGGGCCCCAATTCGTGTTAGCGCTGAGAGGGGATCCCTCCAGGTTCGACACTACTCTGCTTGGCATGGAGCTCATCATCCCATTTCGGAGTTTTGGGGCCAGTGGCGCTATTTGCTTTCCTATTTCAATAAAGAATTGTTCGAGAACATGTCGAGAACATGTGCTGTGACATCGGCAGTCGTGACTCGTGATGGCATCATGCCCATGTCATGTCGAGCGGGATGCCGATAAAAGACCTCTGCTTGCCAACGCCAAAACGGGCGCATACTAGGCATGCGCTATGGCAGTATGTATACCATCCATCATGAGTATGATAAGGAATGACATCCCCCAATGCTTGGATTTGCCCCGCGCGAGGTAATATTGTGTGGGCGAAACGAGGCCTGCCCTCCGCCAAGACTTCGAGTGTAGACTGGCATTGATGTCAATGGTGTAAAAGCCCCTTGCATCGTGTCCGGCTTTGGTAGAGCTCGCCATTTCTTGGGCGGAATGGATAAAACAATTCCGTTTGATGGTCGTCAGCACAAACACACGCTCTGGCCAAGCAGTCAGCAGGGCAATCCCCGTGCGTCTTTGCGTTTTCCATCTTACAGCAGACCAATATATTTATGCACTCCAGATGCATCTGATGTTCAGCCTCTTCAAAACGAAGCGCCATCGTTTGCCTGCACACAATGTGCTTCCACCGCATGGACGTGCTTACTGTGCATCGTCTTGTTCCATCAGCTGCCGGTCGATGGAGGCTTGGCCTGCCGTCCGCAATCTAGCCGGGCGATTTCGAGGAGACACCTGACTGCACGGTTCCTCGCAAAACCATCTTTTGCGGCGTTTTCAGCTTCGCGGTGGCAGCGGCCCGATACTTGGCAGTATCAGGCCAAGCGACGGGTCATAACTGAGGGAGGCGGGCCGGAAACGGTTGCTGGATCTTTGCTTTGCGTGTCCCCGTTTGCTGCGGGACTAGCGGTCGATAGTCATTGCCTCTGGGAGCGAAAGTATAAGCCCGCGCTTTGGGAATCAGCTGCTATTTTGTCCGTAACAAATGGCATCTAGCATTTCCGGCATAAATGCATCGTTCTGAAACAAAAAAATGGCGATGAGAGGTCTAAATTGGTGAAGCCGTGAGCAGCACCAGCTGGCTGCCATGCTGTTGTCGGATCCAGATGTCCTGCTGTAGTGGGGCCTGTGGGACGAATTTCGGCGCTGCATCATGCGGTGTGCAATGTGAAGAGATGGAGGCACGAGATACTGGTGCCAAGCTAGCAGAATGCAAGCAACCTTCGATAAGAGTGGTGCTTGATTGATTGGCGCTGGCGAATAATAAAAGTCTATGCTGGTAGGTGACTGGGGAGGTGACCAAAAGGTAGATGCCACAGGGCCACCTTCCCTCAACACATCGACCCGTTTTCGCTGACTTGTGATGCCGCGTCGAGGCATCAAAATGACACGATGATGACCTTTTGGGATATATTTGCCCCGTCGGCCGGTCGCCAATATTAGACGTCTTTTCCGATACTCCGAGACTGTTTGAGATGTTTTCGTCGACAGGACACTACGACACTGCTTGGCAACTTGAATGGACCTGCCACTATCAAAGGAGCATGATGCTTGGCAATAATTGAACTGTACATTCCCCTTCATAATTCGAACCACCCGGAGTGGACATGGGTGAAGGTTCAGACTGGGTTTCTAGTAGATTGTCGACCTCCGTGTAATTCCCCCCTCCACTCTCCCACTCTTCCAAGCGAACCTACCTAGTGGTAGTAAATAGTTATTCTGGTTTTGTCGTCTGATCCTTGTTGCCAATTTTTGTCCACACCAGTGCAAAACTCAACACACCAGCCAGAGCGCAAGCCGCGGTTGGGAAATACTAGACAAGATCAATTAGTATTCTGCGCATAGACCTCAAAACAAGCATAGAATTCACAAGAATCTTCGAGAGGGCATCAAGTACGGTATATTCACAAACATTTCAGTCACGGCTTGATTATAAGCCTTCAAGAACCCTGGAAACTGATCAGAGGATATCAACCCCTGCACATTGGTAGCGCCTGCTTCCTGGACCATGGTAATGTTGACCTCTGAGGCATAGTGGCGTAGTAGTGGAGGGAGTTGATTTGCAAAAATGGTCTGTGACGCCGAAACAGAAATGGCGAGACCAAGCTGCATGCAAAGACTGATAACCGACATGCTCATAGCAGCCTGAGAGGGAGGCACGAATTCCTGCACACACGTAATTGGCTTTGCATTGTCAGCAATTTCTCAGCCAAGCTTCGGAGAACTCGTAACCTACAGCTTGAAATGATATTCCACGCCCAAGACTCGTGATGATTTGGTAGCCAACCCAATGGCCGACCGAAGAGTCTGGGGTAAGTGTCGTGAACAATCCTGCATCGATACAGCTAACTAAGCTGCCGGCAATCGCCCAAGGTGGAACATATTGGGATTTTCGCACCAAGGCGCCGAATAATATGAGTGCAACGATCATGGTCCCCAGAGATGGCAGCAGGTGCACGGCGCTTGCGCTGGGGTCGTCGCCCTTGATGGCTTAAGACCACAACGGCAGGTAAAAGGGCACAGCTTGCGATGCGCCGCCTTGTAAACATACCATAAGTCCGCCTATATAGATCGAAGGCTGTTTCAAGCACGATGGCGTGATCAACGCGCCCTCCTTCTTGTATCGTACCCAGAACCCAAAGACGAGGAGCAGAGCGAAGCCTCCGCACAGCATCCCGATGATCGTGGGCGACGACCAAGGTAGCTTGCTGCCGCCCCATGTGAGAGCAAAAAGCAGCATGACAACGGCCCCTGAAAATTGGACGAAACCTACAAGATCAATCTTTGTAGGCAAAGCCTTGAGCGCTTGAAGCATCGGAGGCTTGTTGCTCGGTTCAGGAAGTCTCATCATGAATAAAAAGAGGATAACGAGGCCGCCCATGGGTAAAAGCATCCAAAAGCCTGTCCATTTGTTAGTAATCTAAATCAACGAGCCTTTTGTTCAGTAAGATCCAGTCGGATCTAGTCGGACATACACCAACGCCAGCCAGCTCGAGCCGTCAACACTGCTGCAATGACTGGCCCGGTCATGGATCCCACAGATATCATGGACACGGCAGCCGCAGTCACCAGCGGTCGAATCTTGTCCGGGCAGGCTGATCCAATCATCAGCATCGTGCCTCTAAACTGGCCCGATGACCCCAATCCGTTGACTGCTCGTCCAATGATGAACATTTTGCTTGACTTGGCCGTGGCGCAGATGACAAGCCCCGCCTCAAAAATGAGCATAAAGGTCAAGTAGACGTGCTTGATACGCAGCTGCTCATAAAACTGGCCCACGAGCGGGATGAAGACGCAGCTAGCGAGGTTTTACAGGTCAATGTCGGGTTAGAAGCGAATCGCGGGGCAAGGCAGGCAATTTACAGAGTGACGACGTAGGCGGCCTCGTACCACGATATGTCGGACACGGTATGAAATTCGTCAGTGAGCGTCGGGATGACTGTTGCCAGCATGGTGAGTTCTAGTGCTAGCAGATAAAGGCCCAGATAGAGGCCAGCCACCAGTGTCCAGAGCCGTGCGCCATGGAGAGTCGGCTGCTCCTGCTGTTGCGCCTGTTGCTGATCGGTTGGCGATGCTGCATCATCGAGAGTAGCAATAAATTTTGCTTCAGTAGCCGCGCCCAAATCCTTTTCTTTAAGTGTCTCTGACATCTTGACAACTTTCGAAAGACCCTTGTAGGCACGTCTGTTGGCAAAGTTCGTCGTCGCGCCAAAATGCAAAAAAGCCCGGCAAGGGGATAAATGGCATGGTGCAACAAGAAACATGCAGACCGGCCAAAAGGGGGATGATAAATACTAGACGGATTGCTACAGGAAGCCGTTTAGATGCTACATACTACAGAAACTTAAAAAAAGAATCCTGACAAGGCAGCCGTTGAAAGTTGCTGTTTTTCGTTTACGACAAGGCTGAGCCGCGGATGAGCGGGAATCGGGGCTAATAAGCCTGCGGGCGCCAATCGGGGCGACACCTTCCAAGTCCTAATTATTAATGTAATGAGAATTTTGTTAGCTCTTCATAAATGAGGTTGCCTAAGTTAGTGGCTTGTGTCACATTTTTCAACGGCCAACAAAGCCTTTTTGCAAATGTGGCACGTGTAGCTTCACCAGGTGTAATCGAGGAACCCGTTTTTTTTTCTTGATCAGTAAGTTTTTGTAACAATAGCCCGATGCCTCCTTGTTGAACCATCAACTGGATGAACAGCAGTCATGTCTTTTTACTAGGTGTAAGATGTACTAGAAATAGAGATTAATTAATTCTTAGTCGATAAATATAAAACAATTTTTAATGATGGCCCTATTGATTAAGATATAGGCACTTAAAGATGCCATGTTTTGGCGTGATGTGGTGCGATTTCGAACCAGGGCGACTATGCACTTGACGGCAAAGGACCGCTCGTCCAGCAACGATCATCCTGATATACAACAGGCGCTGGCTGCACGTGCGAAATTATATCAAGGACCCCGATCGCCAGCTGCGCCGCATTCGATGGGACGCCGTTCCGTTTCCGCGAGAGTAGCGCCTTCATGCCGCGCCTCGTATTGTTGTTGTGTACTGCTCCTCATTGAAGCTAGATTTTGTTACGCTTGGATTTGATAGCAGGATCTATTGTTCTAGTGAGCCTAATAGTCCCCATCCCCATCAAAATAACTGCTTCAGGCGCTCCTCCCGCCCCTCCTCGTCGCCCCATTGACTCTCCCAGAGGCCCCTCCTCACGTAGCTCCAGCCCATCGGGGCCGACAGGCCCCATGACGTCTTCATCTCCTCCAGTGTGACGGGCTTAACGAGCTCGTGCATTCCCAGGATCGGATATCCGTACTTGGACACTTTCAGGCCCGCGTTGAATTCGGCGTTCCCGATGCCCTCTGGCTCCTCCGGCACGTTGCCGGGCGTGTGGCGGGTAGTGGGGGGGATGGTCGCGATGTGACTAGAAGGCAATTTAGCGTCGTTGTGGCAAGGCAGATAAGAAACCTTGTATTAAAAAAAAAGGCAAATCATACGTGATGGCGGCGCGGCCCGGATCCTCCTTGGTGCCGCGCGTCTCGTAGAACCACAGCCGCTCGACGCCGTCTTGCAACCGGTACTTTCGGTACTCGTGGTTCTTTTGCCTGCTGGCAATGTTTCGGAGGTGTACGGGCAAGATGGCGAGGAGAACGTCGGTCTCGACGCGACCGTCCGACGCGTCTTGCGTGGCTGCTGCTGAGCGCTGTTTGCGGGCGGTCGCACCGGCGGAGGGTGTCGTCGACTTTGCGCTGCCGCTTCTGATTGGGTGAGGCCCGAGAGTAGTCTGCTTGCCAGAGACAGCTGGCTTGGGAGAAGCTCGCGGCGCCATCTGGGGCGAGGTGAATCTGTTGATTGACTTTTCTGTGATTCTACGCCGCGATTGCAGACATTTGGCGAGTGGGGGCTGGCGGAATGATTTTTAATTCGTGGGTTTGATTCTGTCAAAGGCGCGGTCTCGTCCATGATGCCAGGCTTGCTCTTTTCTTTGTCACAATACTCGTGCCCGCACCCACTTTGCCATGGGTGCTGTAAATACAGGCTCGCAACCAACACGCCGCTACGACCAACATACAAGTACCACTAAAAAGGTAAATTATAAATATGTATAATTAAAATAAAAGTAACTAAATTCTAAATCCTAAAAAAAATAGAAGGATCTTGAGTTTCGCCAAGAATTAGTAAGAGAAACTCTTTCCTAACTTAGACGGGAGCTACTCTCACAGAGTAGACAAAGCCGCTGTCTCCACCCATAACTTGTATTCACATAAATTTAATTCCTGAGACTGAGAGTTACGCTCGGAGTCAGGGCCTCACTGGGCAAATTGTCCCCTGTCATCTGTATCTGCCTTGGACTCTTGCCCACGCCAGGGGGTGCGTTTAGATGCCCGCCTCTGCCAGTGCCAGTTCGTTGCCAATCTTGGAGACCAAGGGATAGTCATTTACGGATGCTCACTCGATTGATATTGAAAGTGCAGTTTCCGCCAGAGGAGTCGTGTACGAACATGTTGCCTTGCCCGTGCACAAAGAATTCATGCTGGCGCACTCTGACGGCGTGCAAGACACCACCGGTCCCCCGTACAGCAAGCCGTCACTCAACCTCACAATGCAACACCAAGCCACCACTATGTAGACTTTTGGGGTACTCCGACCATTCATGTAACTACTGAATGCCGGAGTGAGTCACTAAGAATTTTCTTACCAACAGACTTGGACAGTATGCCATGGTAACTGTTGCCCGCTGAATTCTGAATCGCCTCGTGTCTGCTGCGTCATTTGGCTGTATCGAAAGCTGGGCAAAGCAGTAATGCAAACTTCCGTCGTAACCAAATTTTCCTTCTAAAGGCAATGAATAATATTCGGTCTGTATTGCGGACCTGTACAGCAGTTTGATAAAATCACTGCTGCCCGTTCCTGGTCGTGACCCATGACCAAGGTTCGAATCGCGACGACAATATTGCGACCGATAGCTGTGTCGGGTGCTTATTGAGGATTGGGGCTGCATTCACTCTAATTTGTCAATTCTTCAACGAACTGGCAATCATGGTGTCACTGCGTCGCGTAGTTGCCCTCCAAAGGCACGAACCCGACGACTTGTCATTACACAGTGTACCTTTTGTTTGTGAAACAAAGCGACCGGGAAGCTGCTGATTGACTTGTCAGTGAATAGGGACACTTGAATTATCCCTGAATGGCAAACAGAATCACGGAAAATGCATAAATCGAGACGAGCACCCTCGTTTTTTCCGACCAAGACCATCCATTGCGAACCACGATTGCAAAAGTCCGCAACCATGCCTGCTGCCCACAGTCGCTGCGAAGCGGACGCGCAAGACTTGATCGAGCTTGTCAAGTCTCTCGCGATTTCCAACGACAAAGACGGGGCAACTAGTAGTGTTGATGGCTTCGAAGCGCAAATCCTCACCGCGGTTCAAGCCCTCGTGTCAGTCATCAACCCAACAGACCGGCTGTATGCGGCATTTCACGACGGCAAAACTCATTACCCATTGGGCGGTGGCTCATACGCGTTCCAGAAGGATCTGGTCGGTCCTCTCCTGCGGGCACTTGCCCGAGACGAAGAGGCCATGAAGCTCAGCGAAGCCTCCTCGTCAAGCGACACGCCTTCTCTCGAGATGCCCGTTCCCACTTGTCCAATAGTCATACACGCAGGTGCGCAGCCTAACAACTCGCCGCATCTGGGCACCTTGATCGTCTTCTGCTACGCATTCTTGATTGCCAGGGCGGTACGTGATCGGCTCGACGCTGTTGCCCAGAGCAAATCGTCGCAGAATGTCGTCGTTGAAATTACCCTTGTTGACACGGCGCCTGTCATCACGAGTGTGTCGGAAGTAGCCGGAATTACCTATCAGCGATCGTACAGAGAGGTTGCTGGCGCCTTGTCTACGTACATGGGTGACTATCAAGACGCTCTTCGCAGGATGTCGCAGTGGTCAAGCGTCCCTTTTCGGACGCGGTACCAGTCGGACTTATTCTCGCGTCCCGCAGTGCCGGGCATCTTGGCGTGGATGATTGAGCATCGCGGTCGACTTGCATCGCAACTTTCGCCAAAATATAATGCGCTCGCCCTTCGTGCTGCGTGTCCCGTCTTAGGCTGCGGCTTAGCCGAGAAGCACGGCCGATTGAACGAATACACGGCCGAAAGCATCGCGTTTCACTGCCCACACCATGGAAAACATGTCATCCGTCTCAGCGAGGCCTCTGAGGTCGCTCGCGTGGAGGCAAATGCGCCGACACGAAACCTGATTCGCTCCATGAGCCACATACTCGACGATGCAACACACCACGTCCGCATCACCGGATCGGACTACGCAGGCACCTACCAGGAATTCTTCCTGTACCGCCCTCTCGCGGAGTGGTCGCGCTCGACCAGGCTCGGTTCAGGCCGTACGCCGCACATCCTCTATGCACCACTCGTGGTCGACTGGAGTGGCGCGAAGCTTTCGAAAAGCCTGTACGTCCGTGACGGCGGCTATCGGGCGATGAAGGTGCTCGGCATGGATGGAATGTGCAGCTATGCCAAGCTCCAAGCCGAACATGGCGAAGAGGGCCTGCGTCGCATCTGGGCCGAGGTGGAGAGTTGGGTTTCAAACCCGCACAAGTTATTCCGGGCCTCGTACTCTGTCGAGTATTTTAGATGCATTTTAGAGGGAAATGCCTGGCATTGAAAGGGGAAGCGGTAGCACATGGTGGGAAGTTGGTAGAGGAGGATTCTGAGGGCAGAAACGCAGGCCAAGGAGCAGACTAGGATTTTATTTTCCTTATGAAGAGAATTTTATGAATACATAATTTATACTAGGTAAGCTATATTCCTTTAAAATCTTTTACTTCTTTTTATATAATTTAATTAGATTTTATAAAATAATCTAAATAATCTTTATTTAACCTTAATTAGCTATAATCTAAATTAAATAATTTATTAATCTTAACCGATTTTTATTATTAATATAATTCTAAATATTAACTATGTTATTCAGAGATTTAATATTAAAACTTTAACTGAAATTATAAATGTATATATATATATATATAAAACTTATATAAGCTTCATTATTAGTTTTACTGTTTAAAAACTATATTATATTATAAAATGTAGTATTTTTAATTTCTAAGGCATGTACTACATGCAGCCGATAAGCCTTGCTCGAGCCGACGTGGAGCTTACTTTTGATATGGAAGATATGATCCAGAATGGCATCAGCGGCGACAAAACGCTTCAGCAGCGATATTTGAAGTTTGGTGGGGGAAGAGGAGGCATGGACCGCTGCTGGGGCCTGCTGTCGTGGCCACAAATCATGACAGAGTCTTATTTCCTACGAGCAACTGTTGGTCCGTATACCATGCAGATTATACGCATACTCACAGACGCTTCTGGGAGATTTCAAGGCCAAGACGATTGCTCGGTTGTGGAAAGACCAAAATGCTCGTCTGCGCCGCGCGTCAGATTGTCTAAAGAGGCACAGCAGTAGGGGAGCTGGCAGAGGATGCAGTCATTGTCGACAAAGGTGTACGGCGCTGACAGTGACGGACTGAGTGTCACGGGGGACTTCAAAGACAAGAATACGAGTTATATTGTCGCGTTCTTTTTAGGGAAGCGAGACACGCCACAGTTGGTCATTCGTGGTGTGCCATAGACAAAGTTGGTGGAATATGCGCACCAGTGCACCAGGCCCGCAAGCCACGGGGAACTCTGGATTCCTCGAAAGTGTTTCGGGTGGCTGTAATGGAGAAGTGTCTTTCAATGGATGCGGAAGTGGACGACAAGTTCAGCTTTAGCTCATATGTAAAATTATGGGTTGCTTTTATCTGAGTTATTAAGCGGGGGAGGTATCAGGGGAAGTAGTACTACCTACTGTAGACGAGATGTTTTGACCAAGTACACAAGATGTTGTTACTAACCAAATATATAGTGCTCTGTAGCTTCTTCGACTTGCACCGCTGGTGGTCATCCGCCAATTATCCAACTCTACTCCCTGTTTCCAAGGGTCTTCGATCGTGCTAAAGTCGTGCTGAGCTCGGTTAGTAGGACGGGTAGACAAAAAGGTTGATTCAAATTCTGACTGAAAACTGAGAGTTCAAAGTCCAAGACCCTTTTTGCGTCGTGGCGCCTCTATCTGTAAGAACCGTCACACTCTCAATAACGACCGTTGTGTGATAGTCGAATTGACCGCTGGTCGACAGCGTGGTTCCATTCCATTCCATCTGGATATCGGTGTACAACCCATCAATGCTCTCACCATCATCTAAATACAAATTCCCCTCGGCCTTGCCGTCAACTCCTGTGGCAATTACAAGATTAAAGTTCTTGGTACGAACCGCCGTGGTGGTGTTGTCGGAAGCGACCCGCATTGGGACAATGGTACCTCCACGGAAATGTACTGGAATGTCGGTAAAGGTGACGTTATCTCGAATAATACTGGCACCATTTCCGCGGACAGGCTCAAGCGTCCAAAAATCATACCAGAGGTCGTCCGGGAGATAAAAGGTCACCGACTGTGAGTCGTCGTCGTGGACAGGCGAGATCAAAATGCCATCGCCAAGCAACCACTGATACTGGATACCAAAAGTGTTGGCGTCGTTTGGATATTTGAAAAACAGGGGAGACGCTATCGGGCTACCATCTCTGTTTGCCCTGTGAAGCGATGTGTAGATGTAGTCCAACAGTTTATACCGAGCATCGATGGCTTTCTTGGCTGCCTCGGAGACAAGTGGCCAGCGGTAGAACTCTTGCGAAGTCGACTTTTCATCCGCATGGTTTCTGTAGAATGGCTGAAAGGCACCGAGCATGGCCCACCGTGCGCACATCTTTTCCTGAGCGTCACCACCGAACCCACAGATGTCAGATCCAACAATGGGCATGTTGTGCATGGCTGTAAAGCTGAGCATCTGGGAAATAGAGAAGCGATAGTCATCCCAGGCAGAGTAGTTGTCGCCGAACCAGTGTGACATCTACTTGTTGAACGTTAATAAACTGCCAACTACGTCGAATAGTTGAGTCCTCCCCCCACACATGTGATGATGCCGTGACGTACCTTGCTACCGGCCCCAGCAAATGTAGATCGACTAAGAATAAACGGTCGCTTCTCGGGTCGTCGTTGTAAAAGGGCGTTGCGTGTAGCATTAGCCATCATGATTCCGTACAAGTTGTGAGTGTCATATTGAAATGTACCATCAGCATTGGAGGTGTTGGTGTAGATTGTCGAGTCGCTCAAGTCGCCCTTGTAGTTCTCGATCTTGTACGAAGGTCGGAACAAGTCTCGATATGGAAGGCCTTTTTTGGCCTGTATTGGAGAATCTTGACTCAACAATTCACGCCCTCGAGTACGGACACGCACAGACGGCGTAATATCATTGGTGTGAATGTAAAGCGCCCGCTTGGCGCTGGGGTTGCAGTTGAGCTTACGACAGAAGTTGGACCCCTCATTCATATCATTCCACAATCCGTCAACGTCGACACCTGTATCTTGATCAAAAAATGTCTGTATCTCATTGGTCCACCATTTCTGCGTGTTGGGAGCAAACCAGTCCGGCCACACTACCTCACCGGGCCATTGCCTGCCGCGATAATCAGACCCATCCTTGTTCTTGAGAAATACTTGGCTCGCCCTACCTCGGTGGTAGGGCCCGTAGCCATTTCTTCTATGAATTCCGGGACTGAGCATCATGACGTATTTCTTGTCCTCTTCGTGCAGTCCATTGATGAAAGAGCGCATTTGGGACAGGGGGTAGTTCTTGGGGTGTAGGGTGAAGTCCTGCCGGGCGTCCATGTAATCAATGTCACCCCATACCACTTCCAGCGGGATAGCAGCATTGGAGTAATTTGCGACAACAGACTTGACGTAATCGATACTAGGCCAGCCATACTTGCACTGGTGAAAACCCAAGGCCCAGTACGGGACCATGGCCGCATATCCTGTGGCGTCGGCATACTGCCTGGAGACATTGACCGGAGAGTATCCGGCAAAAAAGTAGAAATCCAAAACACCGCCGATAGTGCTGTATTCCAGATATTGCTGTCCAGATCCATCTCTGTCCATTCTGACATCCATACCGTTGGCATTGAGCAAAAATACACCGTGTGTTCCTTTGCCTCCTCGATGATCAAAGTAAATCGGATGGCTTCCATAGAGATTTTGCTTGCGCGGTAGAAAAGCCGAGTCGGCGTTCCAAAACGTACGATGGTATCCTGTAGTCGCAAGCCTAAAGGAGTCGGAGCTTTCGCCCAATCCGTACAGATTGGGATCCGAAGGGAGTTTGGTGCGAAGGCGAACGTATTGCGACTGGAAGATGAGCGGAGTGCCCGACGTATCAAAGAGCACCTCTCCATTACTTTTGCGTTTGACCGAGAATGAAAATGGGTTGTTCAAGACATTGAGCTCGAGTTCTGAATCTGTCGGATTCTCGTTTGCCGGCCGCGGAAAAACCGACTCTTGAATTTGATAGACGCTTGACCCAGCATCGTAGATCTTGACGTGAAGGCGATGACCTATGATGAAGCTTAGCATCCGCAGCACAAATAGCTGGGAGGACGAGCAGCATACGAGTCTGATACTCGACGAGGAGTTTCAAGTCAAGGAGAGCGCCTTGGTGATTAATGGGATAAAGAGGACATGAGCCAGTGAGCTTGAGGTCGGCCGTGAGACTGTTTGTTTTGGTCACGACATTGGATGCCTTGTAGTTACAGTCATGAGCAAAGACGCCCGTTGCACCGAGGCATACAATTGTTGCAATGAGGCACATGGCCGTTACACCGAGGCAGACGCCTGCCCACGGCGGATGAGGAAGCACCTTCATGCTATACGAGAACGCGACGAGGCGCTCGTTTATCGAATGTAAAAGTCGAGCGCTAATAGACTTTACGAGAAACATGCACACGTATATATTCATAGGCCAGTCGCCTTGTTCCGCGTTGCTGAGTCAAGATTGTGCGGGGTCAAAGGCATCATTATCTATTGCTGAGTGCATGCTGGGATGAGTGAGGAGGATAGGGAGAACCCTGTCCAGCTGTGGGATCACAATGTTTCGGAGCTTGCCAAGATGCGCCACACCTATGTACCAGATGCGATTGGGCCAGATCTCCGCATAATGCTTCCTGGGCGAAATGCGAGACGGGAAGGATATAGTTGAGGTACTTGAAGCGATTCTGCCTCGAAGATAGGATTGGACCTGAGTAAGACGGCAATCTAGGCACACTTGCACTGTGCATGCTGCGTAGTATCGTGAGACATGAGCAGCCGAAACGACCATACTTGTTTGCGAGAGACAGACATGCACTGGCACAGCCCCCATTCTTGAAAGCCTTGCTTTATTAGGCTTACTGGCTAAGCGCTGTGGCGGGCATACCTCGTCGTCTCAGCTCGAGCCACGTTGCAGTTCGCTGACGGCCTCAAACATTGGGCTGGCTGGTGGAATTCAGCCTGCGCCGGTGACGAATCTGGCCTGCCTGCAGGTGATTACAAACTATTCATATAATTAGCGCGTAGAGTACTATTTTTAAATTAACTAGACTATTTGCATCACAGATAGCTTTATAAATTGCCGCCCCATAGACGCAGCAACAGGATACTACTAACATCTTGGACACGGAAGTCCCAAGTATCTACCAGCTCTGATCATTTTCGCAACTCATCCTCGCAACACAATGGATGTACTCCAGTAGAAGCTGGCCTACATTCGTGTCACGTGCCGTGAATCGTCAAGGCAGCGTTACCACGTTGGCACCTGCCACATGGCGGATCTGTACATGTGGAAAGGCATCTTCGAAATTCATCGCTGTCACACGCATATACGATGGAACAAAGACCGCCCCTGCATGGAGAACAAGACTCCAGTCTACCCCTTTTGCCTATTCAGAGGCTGCCAGAAGCTTCGAACGGTCGGAGGGGCCATGCGCGCCGGGACCAACGACGACGCGAAGAGTGTACAATCGCCTGGGTATGCGCTCTGAACGTTGAGTTTGAGGCGTCTCTTTACATGTTGGACGATCAGTACAAGCTGCCATCTATTGCCGACGACGAAAACGCATACATGTTGGGCAGCATTGGCAAGCACAAAGTGGTCATGACGTGCTTGGCTGGGCAGAATGGGACAAACAGAGCGGCTGTTGTCGTAACGAATCTGAGGCGAAGCTTTAAAGGTATCCATACGATCTTTGTGGTTGGCATCGGCGGTGGTGCACCCAGTATGGATGATGATATACGCTTGGGTGATGTTGTCGTCGGCACGAGTGTGATACAGTATGACAAGGGCAAGGTCATCACATACGAGCGGTTTGAGTCGACCGCCGCCGGGAAACATCTCATAGGGCGGCTAGCCTTTGCCGTATCCTTTTTTCAGTCCAAGCAAGATGCAAATAGGTGCGGCGAGGAGATGACAAATCTCTTGAAAAGTCGACTCGGAAACCTCCCGGGGCGGTTTGCGCGCCCAAACCGCCCCGATTACCTCTTCTGTGCGTCCTACGATCATTCCTCCCAGGACACGCCACCGAAACCTTGCAACGAATGTGACCTGGACAGGCTGCTGTCACGAGCCCCTCGGTCCCTCAATCTACCCAGCATCTTCTATGGATGCATCGCTTCGGGTAATGGCGTCATCAAAAACGCCAGAAAACGAGACGAACTGTCTGCAAAACACAAGGCTCTATGTTTTGAGATGGAAGCAGCTGGGGTAATGGACTTTCCACAGTGCCTTGTCGTTCGAGGCATTAGCGACTACGCAGATTCACACAAGAACGACGATTGGCATGGGTATGCTGCTGCGGTTGCCGCTGCATACACGAGGCTATTTCTAGAAGATATGCATCCCGAGCCTGGACGTCAAACCACGTTTGAGCTCCGACTTGACTTCAAGTCGTGGATTCAATACGCGCTTCAGATGTGGTTGCGTTCCCCAAAAATCCGTTGGTTAATTATATCTTGTTCGCTGCTGCTTGTCTTTGCAGTTGTCACTGTGCCAATTGTATCGAAGCTCTTGGCCGAAACGACCGCAGCTCTGTATGTCTGGCGGCTTATATTGCCTTGGAGTATCGTGTTTACTAACGGCTTGCCGCAACAGAAAACGTCAAAACGCCATTCTACCTCAAATTCTAAGCAATGCGCACCTCGACGGCCAAACATACCTTGTAGCCAGGAGAAACGATGGACAGCTCTGGTTTACAACAAAGGAAGGTGGCTTATGGACGCATAGGTGGACCAGCACTCAGCAACACGCAAAGAGTCAGCCAACTTGTCTCACTTGGGGAAACCCAAAGAGACTAGGAGTATTTTACATTAGAGACGACAAAACGGTCATGACGAACTCGCTTTTGAATGGCACTTGGGGGGACTGGGAAACTCTCGGGGCCAAGGCGAGCAGCACGGCTGTTCTCTGCCTTGAAGAGCAGAACGCCGCAGTCCATATCTGGATTCGCGAGGATACCCGGGCGAAGCTCATACAGCACAATTATTGGGAGAATAGTCGCAACGATTGGCATACCGTGACGCCTAGCTGGGAGCCGGGCATTAACGGGGTAGAAGCCAAAGAAGCCCACAGCGCGCCGGCTGTGGCATGCCGCAACAGCACCACGACCAACGATGTCATTATATATGACAAGCTTGGCTCCCCGTACCACAGGCAGTGGCTCAACAGCCGCAATCGATGGGGGCCCTGGAATTCCCTTGGCGGATTTTACGTCGGCAATCCCGTTTTGGTGTCTTCAGCAGACGACCGTCTCGACTTTTTTGGCGTGTCTAAAAGTAGCAAGAGTTTGGTTCACACATCCTGGACCATTGCATCTGGGTATAGCGACTCGCGTAACTTGAACGGCTCGTGGAAAAGTGTGCCATCAGTTGCCATGACGGCAAGCGACCGTCTAGACGTCTTCATCCTAAGTAAGAACGGGACGATCCATCATCGGGCTCTGCTTGGGTCGACATGGACTTCTGGATGGTCCGATTTGAACATTTCGGCAACGAGCGCGCCGCTGGCCACTCGTCTCGGAAATAGCACGCCGCCACAAATCATGCTTCAAGTGGTAGCGGCTGGTGGCGTCGTGATAAGCTCGGAATGGGAAGCGACAAGTGATGGTGGTTTGAAGAATACTGTTCCCATCACTCAAATTGGTGATGGTTTGAGCGACGATTGGTTGGAAGTCGACTGATGATGGGCCGCGTTTGATGTCGATGGTCGATGACTTTGCTTACGGAGAAACACATTATCCACAAGTGCTGTAGGTCCAACGGCTGGGTGCCCCAAGACCTCCCCATGGGGTAGGTACCCGGAATAGGATTGATTACCGGCCAAAACTACCCGCTTTCGAGTTTCTTTCCCGCAGCGGTCACATTCTGCTGCTTATATCCACAGAACGTGCACTTTGCTGCTTTGAGGCAGTAAGCGCTCTTCCGAACTAGCCACTGTCACCGAAGCATCCCCGAAAGACTTGGCCAGCGTCCACTGTAGGTAAGCACCTACTTTTTGGTAATATATTACGGCTTATTATTGATTGTAATCATCAGTAGTATTAGCAACGTGACCCATTAGCCTTTGTAGGCTTTCCGTAACTACTTGTTTATAAAAGCTCGCCAGTCCCCCATCTCTTATACCACACTTGTACTCCTCACTCAACCCCTCCACTGTAATCACAGCCAGAAAATAAAATGTCTTCCTTTTCAGTGAGTTTAGCTCTTTAATATACTGTCAGTCAAATTACTTGCTAAGTGAGCCCAACCACAGAGGCTGGTCAGATTCCTGTCCAGCGATGGACGCTCATACTATGGCGACGCCATTCTCCCACACGGAGAGTCCGACATTTCCAAGGCAACGAGTGCCCGCATCATCGAGGGAGACATCTTTGGCGAATACCAAGTCACAGATCGAGCGACCGATATCCGAACTCTTCTACCGCCGCTGGCACCAGCTCACTCTGGCACCGTCCGCTGTCTTGGCCTCAATTACGCCGACCACGCCAAGGAAAATAAGCTGCCCGAGCCCAAGTATCCCGTTCTCTTCTTCAAGCCCCCCACAAGTCTCTCTGGTCCTACAGATCCTATTCCTGTTCCTCACATGGCCCAGGAGATGGATGGCCTTGACTATGAGTGTGAGCTGGTCATTGTCGTCGGCAAGCAGTGCAAGGACGTGCCCGAGTCTGAGGCTCTGGAGTGCGTATTTGGCTACGCCGTTGGCAACGACTTGTCCCACAGAGACTGGCAATTGAAGCACGGGAATCAGTGGGCTCATGGCAAGGGCTTTGACGGCTGGGCGCCGTATGGCCCGGGCATTGTGTCGGCCAAGTTGATTGAGGATCCTCAATCTCTTGCCATCTGGACAAAGGTCAACGGGGAGGTGTTGCAAGTAAGTAAAAATATACACTTGAATGAGTCACACTGACCTTAATAGTGTGGCAATACAGCCGACCAAATTTTTGGTGTCAAGGAGACGATTTCGCTCCTCAGCCGTGGCGTTACCCTGATGCCGGGTGATCTCATCTTTACCGGAACGTAAGTCTCCTATCCTGTGCCCCTTGATGATGCAAAATTTAATTCTAATAACGCAGTCCCGCTGGTGTTGGAATGGGACGATCGCCTCAATTGTGGCTCAAGGACGGCGACGTCGTCGAGGTCGGACTCGATCATGTTGGTACCTGGTAAGCATCCCAATATATAGCTTCATCATTTGGTCCCATGCTAATTGCCCATAAGCGTCAACAAGGTCGAGTTTGCAAGGGATTATGCCAGGATATAGGTGTGCAAAAAGGTCGCCATACATTGCTTTATCACGAGAATCTCACACGTCAATACACTTATTCGCGGCGGTGTGAGATGTGGTGTCGCGGGCCACGACGGGCAAGAATAGAAGCCGCCGTCGGGCCTGGTCGACACCGGGAACGGACACAATCGTATCTTTCGTAGCGTAGAGTCAATTCCGGTGTAGAGAAGATCAACTAAAGAATCGAGCCTTGCAGTAGCGGGATGCCTAATCAGAGTAGCGCATCACATGGCTGACTTGTAAATTCTGCACTGCCCAACCGGGCGCAGAGTCCTGAATTGGTTTCCTGTGCACTGTGCCCCCAAGAACGCCACCTACATACATTTCCATTAATAGCCGTCTCTGGTGTCCTTGTTCCCTGTATGGGCGTTTCGCGAGCAGAGTGGGCGTTTTCATTCAGCCGCACAGCACGCTTCCCAATGGCCCATCACGATTGGGCCATGAGGCTCCTCAGTTGGACAAGATAGTTAGGCAAGGAAGCACCACTTGGCCTAGTCATTTTGGTACTTTTTTTTAGCTCCAAATCTACATCATGCATAATCATCCCGCAAGGCTTGTTTTTTTTTTTTTTTTTTTTTT